AACTTCGCCAGTTAACAAACAGGAGAATACTACCGCCTGTTTCCTGTTAACCCCACGATCGCGAAAAACGCCAAAAGAGGAGGCAACGCCGTCTCGTGCCTCGGGAAAATCAAAAGCTCCAACACATCATCTACCAACGCGAAAGCGCGCGTAACCTGTACTCGAGAAATGAGGACCCCATTGAGAATTTCTACCACAAATTGCACATTTAATATTAATTCGGTTTCGCCGGTGAAAATGCAGTTACACTTTACATGGATTAAATTTCCCCCCAAATAGAGGCGAGCTGGAACTTTACAGGACAGATCGAACCCAATTTCGTTCGAATTGGGTTTAATCGCGTTAACCAAGTCAAATTGATTCGAGTTAATTAGATTTCGGGGAGAGCCGGGTGACTTTAATTTCGTGTATGTGCAGAATATGGGACGCGGGGAATTTTTCACGTTCAGAGGTTAGTTTCACTTGCAAAGAAACGATTTTACGGAGAGGGTGATGGCATTCGATCGGTCGCGATAATTTTTTAACGGGGGGTAAGATTATCGACCGACCTGGAAATGACACTGTCGCCTGGTCTTAAAGGCCGGAAGTTAAATCTAAGCGACAGGACGTCCATAAAGTCCGAAGGACTTGGGAGGAGTCCTTTAGTAGCCCGCAATCGCCGATTCGATTAGTACCGGCGAGTCTTTAGCGAGGAAGTAAATCCCTGATGCGTCTTATCCTTCGGAGAAATCGAATAGCGATTTAAGAGGGTTACAGACTCTCGGGTAAACGTTGACGCGATGGGTCGAGGCCTCCTCTCCTTCTTTTTCCGAGTTTCCCCGAGGACGAACGGCTCTCGACTTATCGAATCCGTGCCTCACTGCCTGCCGATCGGATTTCGCTTCCCCGAGAAAATTAATATTACGGCGACCGCGAGTATATCTACATTTCGAGTGCTCTGAAAAGAGGAAACTAGCATTTCCCGGCAATTCCTGCGAGAAACTTACTCTAACAAAGCCAATACATATCCCGCCTTCCTGAGAACAAAATCCTCGTCGGAAAGCGCGACCGAGTTTCGCGCCAAATACATCCTTCAGTTGTCCCAAAATGACTCCAAATTAATAACGCCCATTCGATGAAGCAATTATTTCCAACGTGATTTAAACACCTACGTATACAGTTTCATTTCCCCCTCCACTTTAATCCTTACACCTTTGTTACAGCATTACTACCCTAAACAATGGATCGACTACCCTCCGCGTGGAGGCGCGGGCCGTCTCTCGCGCAGAACGACATAGGCGCTTCGGGGTTAACTCGGAGCAGGGATTTAAATCCCCCTCGACTATGCGACATTCCCTCGCAAAAAGACACCCCAGTTGTCCCCTGGCACTCAAGCCGTGGCGGCATTAGCGCAAGTCGAAACAGCGGCAGCAAAAAGCGGTCGGAAAGAGCGTCGGGGCAGCGGCGAGTTACAGCTGGTGCCCCGGCGAGAGAGGGGTCACCCATAAGTCGATATATCCAGTAAATTCGAAGGGGTCGACTGTAATGGCCGTATATAATAAGCAAATTGCTTTATTATTCACCGGCGTCCCGACGCGTCGGTCCCTCTTGCGGCAATTGTAGTCAGACGCAGCTGCCCCTCGCGGTGCGCTCCTCGTGCTAAATTGCCTGGCCTATCTCGCAGGTACCCGACCACCCTGGATCGTTCCTGGACAAGTAATAACGCTAATTAATTCCGCGACTCGCTGTTTAGCGTGCCTCGAATTGATCGGAACCCGCGGAATTAGTCGCGATATCGAACCGCTCTCGATACGCTGGGAGGGACTGGGCGCTCCAAATTACCGCGAGACCTGCATTTTCCGAGCGCGCCTCCACGTTGAGGTCCGATCGACTGCTCGGTGCATCCATGGCTTTCACTGGGTGCATCGATGGCTTTCACTGGGTACATCGATGGTTTTCACTGGGTGCATCGATGGCTTTTACTGGGCGCATCGATGACCGAGTGCACGGGCCAGCAACGAGCCATGGATTTGCACCGACTCGGGAACGCCGGAAATTGTTTCACGACTCGGTGCTGTCGCTGAGGTTCCTTGCAGCTGCAAGTGGCGCTTAAAGGCTAAACGGGAATGCTAAAACTGGTGCTTTAGAATTTTCCTTTGAAACTTCTTACGGCACGGAAGTACGCGTTGTGAATGGGGCTTGTTTTAGAAAGTGAAACGCCATTTTCTAACACTTAATTACACTTATCTAACGTTCGCGTTTGCCTTTTAGTATTTACACGATTAGCTTGGAAGTTTTCGTTAGCGTTGTTTAATTTCAATCCGTTGTCTGGGAAGCCAGTGTAATGAAAGATTGCTTGTTAGAGACAAGCAGTATCGAATGAGAAAGGGCCTCTTGAGAATGAATAATTATGAAATATTAGTAATGTTTAATTGTTTCCTTTAACTCAGAGGTTTCCCTTCTAATTCATTCTTTTTATGGGGGTTGTTGCCTGAATCAGGTCGAGGAGCTAGGTTTCTCGAATATGCGTTCCGTAATTTCCTTAAGAAAATATAAACATAGAGGTAGAAAAATAGTAGGAGTAGGAAGAACGTGGAGAAGACCTGCAGGTCGAACTTTCAGGATTATTACCGTCTTAAACGGAACGTCACTAATTCGCCAAGAGTCACATGCCCTGGGCTTGAAATGCATACATGATTCGTATCCGAACTGCGCGTTAAATGAAGGGAAACCGTGTTTGCGTGGATGAATTTATTCCGCGATTCCGCGGAAACTGCAGGCCCCCGAATTGTTTCCAGCAATTTTGAGGCTGACCACATTTCACGAGATTTCCCTCCGCAGGCTCTTGCGAGGTGTTGCATGTCAAAAATTCCGCTGGATTTTGGAAACAACTTAACTATGTTTTAAGTTATAATTGATCTTGATTGCGGACGTGTTGTGCGGAGTAAAAAAACATGCACAGCTGAACTTAACAATCAACGAGTCCATTAATGTTGCAACATTGCACTTGTCATCTGAGAATTCACCGTCGTTCCTGGCTCCCCTTTGAAATAAAACTCATTCACGTGACGAATCAGGCGATCATTCACAAAATAATTGCAAAAAGAAATTTCGTTGGTCACTCGAAAAATTATTGCAAACATTACTTTTGCGCGAAATGGGCAATTTAATAATGAAAGCAGCACCGCGATCGTTGGGTCTTCGCTCTCAAGAACCATAAGTATCGTTAAATCAATAATGATTGATGAAATTTTGTAAGGAAATTTTGCAATCTCGAGCCATGACATTTAGGATATAAAAACTGAAAAAGTATCGCGATAATCCACTCAGTTTAGATATCGACTTGGGACTTATCCTGGGAAGAATTATCCTGTCCGTGACGATACGTAATCCCCCACGCTGCAGCGTTTATTCAGAATTCTGATATAAATGCATGCCCAGCTTTACTTCGCATAACTTTACTTTTTTCAATGGACCGCGGTAATCCCCACTATTCTAGGTCAGGGCGGAATGCTTAAAAAATGAATATGCAATCGAAATTTCCCACGAAAATTATGCGGAAAAGTTATCGGCCCACTATCGCGGATGTTAGGTATGGAGCAAGCCAACTTCGATTATTTTTCCAATTTCAGGTAAATTATATACTAGATAATATTAAGCCTTAAGAGTCTCCAGGGTTCACGTGCAAGCGATACATTTCTTTATACCTTTGTTGTAGAGCAATTAATAAACGATATAAGTCACCGTCCACACTTTTAATCCCTCAATGACTCTGCGCGAACAGGATAATGCGTAATCACATTAAACGAGCCGATTGAAGTTAATCAACGGCGCGAAGTATCGATCAAAAAAGTACTTCCGGGATAATCTGTGTTGAACGATCACTCGCAATTACAATACCACTGCATCATGCCCGCATTTGACAGTTTAAATTTACCCCCTTCGTCAAGACAAATAATGTTTCCAAGTAACGAATTCTAATGAGTCATCTGTACCAGATTTTCCACCGTCATTTGCATATCGCCAAGTAAATCTCACCTTTCCCTAAGAAATCCCCCCTGATACGGATAAATGTCAAAACTCGTATTTTTTAAGGATTAACATCCCCGACTTTTCCATATAAAAAAAAAAAGAAACAGTTTTAAGAGCGATAGGAGGCGCTCTTAAAAAACTTTGAAAAATCCCAGGGACTCACAGAGCAAAAGGAATACCAAAAGAGCCGAAGGATCCAGAGCCGAAGGGCTCCACCGTTAAAATAAAAAAAAGCGGAAAAGCAAAGTGGAGCAAAAACGTGCATCGTTGACAAAGGCTGAAATCTGGGCGCGAGCTGTCCCGCTTCTCTCGAGTTTCAGCTGAAATATTGGACATCAAAAGTTACAGCCTGATGCTGGCTGAGTTATTTCGCCTGGGCGATAAACCCTCCTCTTTGCGCGTGCATTTCCAATTTTTGTTCGATATTCACGCGGCGTCGCCTCTTACTCTCGTATTTATTTGTTATGCAGTTTACGATGATAGGGCGCAAGTGTGTACGTCGAGTGCAGAAAAGTGCGCTCGGCGAATCGAAGATCGTTTTTCCCGTATACGTGCATATTTCCTTATCGCAGTCCCATCTTGCACTTGACCGTTCCCGAGGGTTGTTAAATTCGTGCGGAACCCGTGATAAATATTTCGCGAAACGGCGAGCGAGGATAGTGGATTAAAGGCGGAAAAGAAAAATGGGGGCGCGAAGTTGGGAGGAGGGATTTAAATACCCTCTGCCAATTCCGGCGGGACTATTAAAAGGCTGCACTTTGCGACATATAAATTCTTTCGTTTTCGCCGCGACTTAGGAATTAATGTAAAAAATATGCAAACGTTAATTATATCAAGTGTATAATACATGACTCATTTCGTGGATTTTTTGCGAAAATCCATGAAAGGTTCCTAAAGTTCGGCCTCCTATCTCAGGCAAGATAAATAACGTTCAATGGCCCTAGCAACCCTTGATAAAATAAAGGAAATAATGTGTAAATGTTACTTACGTCAAGGAGGTTCATCAAGGAAGCACGACGACGGGGGTCAGGTTCGGTCATGGCTGCTAAAACTGATTGAAGGGCCGATGGTGGAGAAACTGATACAGTTCCTGTCAGAGCTGCAACTCGTGGTGTCGTATCCAGAAGGGCTCTACCCAGGGAATACATCCACATCTGGAAAAAAGATATACTTCTCTCACATTCATATTTCCAATAAATCGATGAAAAATGACATCAGGCCAAAACCACGAAAATTGGGAATCAATTGCAATTTATTCAATATAAATATTTGATCATTACGGGCGTACAATTTAGAGCTTCAAGGATTAGGGCATAAGAATGTGTATGTACATTGCCAAATTACTACGCCCTGCAATAGTCCTGCGTATCCTTCCCACGCATAGGAGACAGTCCTTCGCATATTTCCACCGTGAAAGGTGTGAAATAATTCAGAGAGATGCGCTCTGACGTTTCCAGTGGGATTCGATTAAAATCCTCCCGACTAAGCCGAAGCGAGACTGAATTTACGTGAAAAACTATCTCGGCCGATGCCCCTCGAAATACCGAAGTGAATTCGTTGGCAGTATATCGTTCAACTTTCAACAAAAAGAAAAGAAAAATATGAATTTTCTGCCGACATATATGTATCATAGAGTATCGATGAGATTATTTCCGATTTGCAGGATCGAAGCATTGATTGCCGCAGGATATGGACCAGCTCGGTCAGCTGAGGTTTTGTCCTTGCTTGAAATTTTCTGAAATATTGGAAAATTATGGGGAGTCCGTACACCCGGTCGATCAATCGTGAAGGACCTTAGGGGGACGGGAACAATTTCGGGGGGCATCCCGAAGGAGCATCGCGCCTTGTCCTTGCGAATGTTGGAGACGAAGGAACATTTCTCATCATCGAGGTCCGGTGGCGGTAACCAGAGGATTTCCCGCGGGAAGGACGGGATCGGCTCCTCTCCAGATTTTCCCCGAAAACATCTAGAGTCGGACTAATCCCTTACATAGTGGGCGGCTCCTCCCAGTCCCGGGGGAAAGTTTCTCGGGAAGGAATCGAAATCGTCGGAGAAACTGCCGGGGGAAGTTGCGGCGCGAATTAACGGGGTGGGAGGAAGGAAATACTCGGGAATGACGTTAGGAGATAATCCTTCCCTGACCCTCGAGGGATTCATGACGTCTGCCCCCTGACGTAGATTTCAAACCGCAAAGAAATGATATTTATTCCTAGCGACCGATATATTCCTTGAAAAAAAATGTAAAGGAATTATTATCAAAGCTGGAGGTACGAGGATATTATTTCACGTCAGCGTTAATTGAATGAATTTTATTAAATAAATTGTCCCGTTAATTGAATCCGATGACAAGTTCCGAATTAATTCTCCCATTTTCGCCATTCGCGGTTCATAGTCACCCCCAATTAGCTCAAGTTAAAGCGGCCTCAACTTTTAAAGTCGCATCAGGACTCGGTCGGAGTTTAAGTGGGCGGGTAATTAGGGTGGAGAATTTCGCATTAACGGTTATGGTCGCGAGACGACGGATAGCCGTCGAAGTTGCAGCTCGGTGCATTCGAAGCTGCATTTCAAAGGGCTGCGCCGATAGCGTCATCGACTACGCTCCCAGGGGTACCAATCGAGTTCAGATTCAGAGTCGAGCTGGAATATCGGAATGCCTCCCACCTAGGCGAATTAAGATCCTCGGTCCTCGCCAAGTTTCGAATTGTTCCTGCCTCCTAGCACCCCGGGGCAGAAAGCACCCTCTTAAGCCGGATTCGTCGCTCCCTTGCAGCCCTGCGACATAGGTGCATCCCTCGAGGCCAAATCGCACCCCAGAAAAAGGAAAACCTCCCCTTTGCAGCGGGCATCTTCCCTGTGGAATATATAACGATGCCTGGATAACGCGGCAACACCTCGATTCAACAAATACCCCTTAACGATGATACCACAGCTTTACAAGAGTACGATAATAGGTCCGGTATTGAAGATTGCGCACCATGAATATCAAGCATCGTCAGGGATACAATTTACGTCTCTACAATATTGTAAGTCTAATTAACGAGAAAATACTGCGATTCAATAAACATCTCCCATCAGTGGTACCGTAATTCTTGATCTTACGGAAAGCTGCACCCTAACAGCTCCAAATTTTACATTTGTCCTAAACTAATGGTCCAATTAAATTTAGTAAAACCATCCCGGAACGACGATGAAATTCCGGTTTGCATAGATGAAAATCCCTGTTCTTCAGATTTCGAAAAATCTCTGGACCATTTGATCGATCTCCATCCTTCGGTCCCTGACCAGCCCGAATGCGTCGCGTCTTCCCAGGGTCTCCAGCACTTACCTACCCCAATCGCAGGACCCCCCTGCGAGCTAGTCCCTCGAAAGGAAGTCATCGTCTGGTCTTTACGGCGGAAACGTCAGTGAGGCTCGCCAGTTTGCATAATGAGGTTGAGATAGCAGGCCGACGAGTACCCACCCTATAACCGCGTCCTACGTCATCGGCGGGAATAAAAGTATCGTAAACGAAGTCGACGGGGGTGGCGGGGGAAACCTCGGGGCGGTTTTCACGAGCACCAGAAGGGTGCCAGACAATGGCCCGAACAAACATTACACATCGTGAGCACCAGTGGCTCTATAAACTCCACCCCCGCGCACCCGGCACCAGACCATCTTCCACCTATGCCCCATTCATCCCCGGCCTTCGCGGCGGCCTTTTTTATGGCGAACTGCGAAACGCTCCAGGCACAGGGTCCATCCGTCGTTATCCTGCCCGTTTCCAGGGATCCGCTTCGAAACCCGACTCTTCCAACCCCCCCTTAATTCCGCGTTTTGCCGGTGACACGGAATCCTGACGTTTACACGAAGTCGATTTGGCAGCAACCCCCTTTGCTGCCCCCGGAAGAGGTCGACAGGCTGGTTGATGGAAATTTCGGTTCCTGACGGGGACTTTGAACGCATTCTGTGTCTTGGAAAAAGGTTACAGGGCCTTCGAAAGGGATTTTTCTTGAAGGGGTGGAGGAAAATGAGACTCGAACGAAGAGTGAAAAATTCTGTATCATGACAAAATCTTGAGGAGTACCTTGCGGAGAGATTAAGGTGGTGGGAAAGTGGAGTCTGAGGGTCTCGTTTGTGAAACATTTCCTTACACCCAAGACGGAATCGCTTGGAATTTTACCACGTGGGGATGGAGGATCTAAGGAAGGTCCCGAATACCCATGACATTTTATTTCTTCTAGAGAGAGCAATGAAAATGTTTATAAACTAATTAAACGAGGTCCCTTGGACAGCACTTTCATGTCACCTTAAGGTCTTGATGTGGCAGTGTCTTCGAATTCGTTCCCTGTTAGAATCTTCTCTAGGAGGGATTTGTAATTCCCGGTAAAATCTGTGACTATCCTTTCCATGACCATACCTTCCGTAGAAATCGGTTGACACGTGATTTGCTATTAACTCGATTCATGGTATTGACAAGGAAGGTGAACCTACCTTCTCCGAATCGGTGTCGGAGTAGATGCGACCCGGCCGGTACTCAGGGGGTAAATACGCTCGTGCGGTTTCCAAGGGTGCCAGCTGTAACGTCACCCTACCGCGTGCTGTCAGTTCCAACGTATGAGGTGTCACCACCGGTCCCATCCTCGAGCCTCCCACCACTCCACCATCTGCAACCAAAATGACTGCATAGAAACATTAAGCTTCCCTTATTACTTCTTGCTGAAAAGCAAATTATTTTATTAACAATTTCTCGCGCGGAACGGACACAAGATCTAAGCCTAACGTTGACAGAAACGTATTTTTGCTTTCGAGTACTTGTTTTCGGTAAGACTACTTTATATATCCAGAGAAATGAAGTCAATGCAAGATATGATTATTAACATTCTCGGATAAGTTAAGTTAATAACAGTATTTCATATTTGCTTCGCATGTTTCCAGGTAAATAAAATTAATAACGATTATTTACCTATATATTTATTTATATCAACCAGGCAACGTTCCGTGAGTAGAAGACGTGTCTTCCTAGCGGTACCAGCTATAGTCATCGCCACTTTATTTTCATATCGGAACGATCATATTTCCCACTGACAGTAGGACATATCACCTGCTAGATCGATGCACCAGGCTCGTAATTCTCGCATGGATAATAGGACATCCTGTGCAGGGTCGTCGTTGGTACCGTAATTATCGTAAACATACGGTAAAACATGGCGGCCGTACAACTGTACAGCATCGTGCACATGCAAAACCATTTCGACGGACCGCATGACTGCCGCTTCGAATATTTCTCGTGCGGAATTTACACGTCATGTAACAGTCTATTATTGAGTCACGTTGAAGCGAATATCAACATACATGAGGATCACCATCTACATTCATGATTGTCTATTCCATAACTCCTCGAGCCACGACTATACCAATTGGACCAAAGAACCGGATTAAATGAATCCTAAAATCGTTCTTTAATTCCTATTTAATTTTAATTGTGCACCGAGAAATACATTTAGTTGAACCTATCTTTTTGAATAGTATTGAAGAATAATTATTTAACCCAAATCAATTTGAATAAATCGTCATAATTATGTGGAAACGTTGCATTCAATTTATTCGACTTTATTACAGTCAAATAATTATTCTTTGAATTAAGAAGATCATTTCTTTGGTATTATTTCATGAAATATTTCTCTGGTTCCATGCAATTTTGTTTGCTCAGGGTGGAGGAGCTAATGTGTTTTTTTTTTTTCTGGAATTATGGACCATGTCATTGGTCTTAACGAAGTGGATAACGCTCTTTGAAAAGGATCCCCTGATTGGTCCCAATTGTTAGCGAGGGTTAATCGATTTCCAACAACGCCTGGGGTAGCTTGACTTCGACTTTGGTCTCATCCGTGTCGAACAAATTGAAGAAGGTGGAACTCGGAGGGCGAGAAAAAAGAGTGGCGGACCTCGTAACCACGTACAATGCGATTTGTCCGAGAAGGGTGCGATGACTCTCGGGGGAATTTCTATTCGACGAGCAGCAAGCGTTAAGGTCAGAGCTATACGTTCTCACGGTTTCTTGGATTCGCCCCTCTTCGAGGACATCGAGGTTGATAATGAAAGTTAACGCGAGCCAGGACCGACGATTCTGTTTCATTTCTCTCAAAAACGTCGAAATACATCAATTGAAACAAAACGTCGCAGGAGGCGAGCACCGATTTTTAATCGTGAAAATAATGATCGAGCCGTTCCCTTTTCATACGAATTATCTCTTACGTTATCTACATTATTTAGGATTTAAATTAAAGAGTACTTTAGCTCACCTGTTTCCTCGAATTTCCGAAACCGCCCCCAGGATCTCCAGTCCACGAGTCGGGTAAACGGGACCACGCGGAGGACATCCGCATTTAAAAAAGTGAATTCCTGGGGAAACGAGTGTTTCGGGAGCACGAGTACAAGAGAACGAGAGATACAATAACCAAGCACGAGGGTTCCGGGAGCATTAGGGAGCTTAGAACGCGTCCCGGGGGATCCGGGAACACGGAATATGGCCGGTGCAATTTTATCTGCATATGCCCCACCTGGAGGCGTTAACGTATTCAGTGCGAGTTGGATTCGTGGGTGTTTCCGGTGCGATCGCATTACTCGAGGAGCATCGAGAGGCATGCATTCAACTTCCGCTTCTGCATTATTTATGACTCTCGTGAGATACCTCGACGATTATCCGGAAAAGCGTGCAGGCATGGCTTTTACAATCGCGGGGGAGTGATAAGGGATGCGCCGTATACATCAGGAAGGGGTCCGGAGGGTCGCTTTGAAACAAAAGGGGCCCCCATTTGTCGACGAGGGTTCGCAAGAAGGCGCAAGAAAACCTATCTTTCCTTCCAGGATTCTGCATTCCTGCACTTTGTTTCGCCGAGATGCGCCTTCCGCTCAATTACTTCCGGCTTCCATCTCGGGCTCGCGGGAGAGGTTTACCGCCTATGAAATACATCTCGGTCGGCGACCACTCGTAAATCCTGCCGATCGAGGGCTCCGAGGAGATGCCGGCCTCCGGGACCCTTCGAGTACCCTGGAACGGCTCCTGATATCGCGGAAGGATGTTCTGCCCATTTGCATTTCCCACGTTTCTCCCATCTGCGCTCGCCCGCGAAGAGCGCCGACAATTACCGACGCCATTAATTCAATAAACTGCGTAGACTATGTTAGAATTTATAGAATTCATTTATCTATTGGGTTGATGCATAAGTCATTGAGGATTTTTTTCAAATATAAAAATGCGCACAGAAATTAAATGTTTTAACATAATGTTATATGTTATTTTAAAGAGAAATTTTGCTTTACAAGACAGTGTTTTAATATTTTTGTTAGATTTCCAGTCCAGAGCAAGCGTTGTGTCTTTGAGGTCGAAATTTCCATTTTTAAAGCGCGAAAACCACCATTGAGCCGACCTTATGATCATAGCTTCTTCTCCGTGTATAGTGCAAATTTCACGAGCCGCGATTAAACTCGATCAAAAGAAAGTGTCGAAAATGCTCATTTTTGTCCACTTGATCCTCCATTTTAATTGCCTGAAAATTCACAAAAATTAAATCTAACAAAAATATTAAAACACTGTCTTGTAGAGTAAAAATTTCTCTTTAAAATAACATACAACATTATGTTAAAACATTTAATTTCTGCGGGCATTTTTATATTTGAACAAATTCCCAATGACTTATGCATCAACCCAATACATTGTATACGATAGATCGAGGGATATTCTTCACGGAGATGAAATGCGGGAGGAGGACCTATCCAAAATTTCGGAGTAAATTGGCGGGACAGGGCGCTGCGCTCGCTTTTGTTTTTAGTACTTGGTTGTCTTTTGTCTATTTTTTTTTCTTCGTTTTTTTTCTTCCGTATCCGTTATCGAGAGCGGGGAAAAAGGAATGTCATTTAAAGACAATATCCGAAACCGCAGCCCACCCTCGATCGCTCCCTCCGGTCAAATACAGGAGGGACACTCGAGAGCGAAACGTTTCCGCGGCTTAGGTATTTGCCGAGCTCGTAGGTGTCTCGTCCCATTCGTCTCTGTCACTTTTTGCCCTGGCACTATACTCGCTCCCCTATAGAACGGAGTATAGGTATAGATTTTGCGCCCGTAGAAGTGGGCCGGCCACCCCAGTAGTCAATCTCTGTAAATGGTCAGACTGGCAGAATGGACTGCTCGCGCCACTGGCCCGATTCGTTTATTTGCATCTTTTATATGGTCGCCATGGTGCACCCGGGGTAGCAACAATCCGGTTAGCGCAACAGCGTGAAAGAAATCCTCGATTAAAAGGCCGAACAGATTTTGTTAATTAACGGCGGGTATGTTAGATTTTCTTTTTTTTTTTAAACACTCTGGCAGAGCGAAGTACATTTTTTTGCCACTCTATAGGAATGAAGTCAGGATTTATTTATTCAACTTTTCCACGTTGATTGAAACGGCACGTTGGCTTGGCGTATCCCTAGTTTTTGATAAAAACCTTCAAATTGTGAATTCGTTTTACCGTGATTTCAGGTGGAATTGTACGTCGAATTGGGGGGTGGGCTTCGTCGCTTTAAAGAGGAATCCTGTCATTTTTGGGGATGACACGGGAATCCGATTGAAGAAATTCATCGATCAAATACACGAGTTTCCAATAACTGGTTCGTCGGCTCGTTCAAAGTTCAATTGTCCAATTTGGCGTGCGGTTAGTTACTTCGATCGATTCGTTCCGATAGCGCGGTGTTCACAAATGCGGCGAGATGGCTCAAAGGGTGCATCGCGTATCCGTTTCGTTCGATTTAATTCGTTTAATCATCGATTCTCTCATTACCCGCGAACATGATCATAAACGAAAATAAACTCGAATTCCTCATTTCTTAAATTATTGCGCGTTACGTTCCACGTTATATTTAATTATCAAAGATTTTTATACCCGGACAAGTCTTTCCATTTTCATCAAGTACCAATTGTGGCGTGGATTTATCCCGGTTTACTTGGAATGTTAAAATTCTTTTGGAAAATTTATAAATAAAATGTATAAATGTATAAATGAAGGCCAGGGGAAACGGACGATTTAACAATTTCAGGTGCAAAGATGTCCTGACGTGCGAGGCAATGGATTTGCAAGGAGTGCTCCAGGATTCCGGAAGGCGAGAAGAGAGGGCGAGTAAACCGGAGAGAATCCTGGCTACGTGAGGCCGTCGAAATTAATTTGAAGAGAGTCCACGAGAATACGAAGTCTCTCTCGTTCTTACCTGCTTTATTTTCCCTGGGTACACCCTGGGCTTCCTTTGGGGGCAAAGACCCCCTTAAGGTGATATGAAAGTGTGATATATATACGTACCAAAAAGTCAAAAGATTTATAAAACTTTTCTCCAAACTGGATGCACCAAATCATCTAAAACTTTAACCCGTGATTATGGAGGCTCTAAGGACAAAACGCGCCGTCCGTGAAATTTCATTTTTCGAAAAAAAAATATATCATTTTTAGTTCTTGTCCGAGATAATTAGAGAATTTTTTTCGAAATAAGAAATTTCATGAGCAGCGCGTTATTCCATAGGGCCTCCATGATCACGTGTTAAGGTTTCAGATAATTCGATCCACCCAGTTTGAAGATAAGTATTATAAATATTTTGACTTTTTGTTATGTATATATTACACTTTTATATCACCTT